TGTATCAGAGCCCTTAATCCGGGGCAAGGGAGATGGTTCAGTTGGTAAGACGCTTTGAAACATCAGTGCCTAAGTTTGTCCTCCAGTGTCAGGTTAAATAACTAAATACTTTTGTTAATTAAAAACGTAACTGGGGAGGCAGAACTAGGATTCCAGGGACTTGCTGGTCAGCCAATCTAGACCAATTATTGAACTTGAGGTTCAGAGAGCTCTTTCTCAACAGATAAGGTACAAGACTGACAAGAATGCACAAATATAGGCACTCGCTACCAAACCTGACCTGAGCTCAATGCCCAGGACCCACATGGTGGACGGAGAGAATCGGTGCCTACAAGTCCTTTGACCCCCACACATCCATCCACACATGCACTGCAGTTCATGCGTGCATGCTAAATTAAATATGCAGGGGAAACTAAAATAAAAACTTTAATGTGGAGAATGACTGATGTCTACCCCACACAAACACATACAGCACATGAACAAAGAGGAAGACATCCCACACACAAACACATACAGCACATGAACAAACAGGAAGACATCCCACACACAAACACACACAACACATGACCAAATACATACACACCTCTGAGACACAGAGAAAACTTCAAGATAGACAAATAGGCACAAACTTTCTGAAAAGCACTCCAGTAGTAGCCAGGTATGGTGGCGCACGCCTTTAGTCCCAGCACTGGGAAGCAGAGGCAGGCGGATCTCTGTGAGTTCAAGGCCAGCCTGGTCTACAGAGTGAGTTCCAGGACAGCCAGAGCTGTTGTGGAGAAGCCGTGTCTTGCAAAACAAACAAACAAAAGAACTCCAGTATCAAAGGGTGTATAATCTCCAGAATTGGCAGATGGGATTCCATGGAGATAAAAATAGTCCTCAGGGAACAAGAAAACCATCGGCAGAACAAGAGACAACCTACAGAATGCAAGAAAAACTTTGCAAACCATGTATCTGACAGAGAATTAATATCTAGAATCTATAAAGATTGCAAAAACTAAACAAACAACATCTTTACTCATCAGATAAATGTAAATAAAAACATTAGGATTCCCTTTAATCTCTGTGAAAAGGTTATTATTAATAAAACAACAGGGACTGGAGAGATGGGCCAGTGGTTAGGATCACTGGCTACTCTCACCCATACGACAGAAGAAAGTGTCTATAATTCCAGGTCCAGGCCATTGGCCTCCAGGGGCAGCAGGCATGCACATGGTGCTTTTACATAGGCAAAACATGCCCGTATGTGTTTATCTTGTTTTCGTGACAGGGTTTCTCTTCATAGCTGTTACTGTCCTGGAACCCGATTTATACTCCAGACTGGCCTCCAACTCAGAGATCTCACAGCCTCTGCCCCTGAGTGCTGGGATTAAATGTGTGTGCCATCAAGCCCAGTTTACCCATGCACAGGTAAAAAGGGGGACAATTGGGGAAGCTGCCTGAGGGAGGTGTACAGGCAAGTGAGTAATTTTTTGAAAGAGAGAACAACTTGTGCCTGTGAGGGTGTGGGAAGAGAGACCCTTTCTATACTGCTGGTGAGAGCATAAATGGGTGCAGCCACCTGGGAATCATCAGGGAAGTCCCTTAAACAACTGAACCATATGCAGGCTACAAGGCTCGGTGGGTGGGGGTGCCTCCTGTGCATGGAACCGACCACCCAAGCTTGACCCCTCGATTCCACAAAGCACAGCAAAGAACAACTCCTAAGATATGTCCTCTTTCCTCTACACATGCATGTCATGGTACATGCACACCTGCAGTCGAGCATGCACGCACATACACCCCACTCACACATACATATCACACACACATACGCACCCCACACACCCCACTCACATACACACACCCCACTCACACACACATATACACGCACGTACACACACACGCACCCCACACACACCCCACACACACATATACACATGTACACACACACGCACCCCACACACACCCCACTCACACACATACACACACATACACACACACACACACACACACACACACACACACACACACACGGGACAGAGAGAGAGGGATTGGTTTTTAAAAACAGATTAACTTCCATAACCCATTCCTGGGTGTACACCCAGAGAAACCTAAGTCAACATACCACAGAATACCAGTCTTTATTGCTGTTCCATTCGCAACAGCCAAGTTGTGCAGCCAGTCTGGATGGCCATGGACATATGAGCTATTAAAAATGTGACATATCGCCGGGCGGTGGTGGCGCACGCCTTTAATCCCAGCACTCGGGAGGCAGAGGCAGGCGGATCTCTGTGAGTTCGAGGCCGGGCTGGACCGACAGCCTCCAAAACAATACAGAGAAACCCTGTCTCGTAAAACCAAAAAAAATAAAAATAAAAAAGTGACATATCTACACAGTTGAGTCTCACTCATCTGTAGAGAAGAATAAAATTCTGTCATTTTCAGGAAAATAGAACTGGGGATCTTCATGTTAGACAAAACAAGCTAGGCTCAAACAAATATTGCATGTTTCCCTCATAAGTGGGATCTAGCTTTAAATGCAAATACATATATGGCGTGAAAGCGGGCGGTGGGGGGCTCAAGAGGGAAGGAGGAGATCTACAGGGAGAGGAGAGGGGATGAGCACACACTGCCCCTCATGTGAAGTGTACGTCAATGTGTGCGTGTGAGAGACAGAGAGAGATGTGTGTGAGAGAGGGACAGAGAGAGATGTGTGTGTGAGAGAGACAGAGAGAGATGTGTGTGTGAGAGAGACAGAGAGAGATGTGTGTGTGTGTGTGAGAGATGTGTGTGTGAGAGAGAGAGACACAGAGATAGACAGAGAGAGTCAGAGACAGAGATGAAAGGAGAAAGGGACTGTGTGGGCAGAGGCCTGGCAGGAAGTGGGGAAGAGGTGTGAGTGGCGGGCACATTCGGGCTATGTACAATGACAGACACACATGGAAGTGTCACAATGGACCAGCAAGCTGGTTCAATGATTCCGAAAGGTGTCCTCTGACCTCTATCCATGCACCAAATGTGTGGACTAGATAAGCAAATAAATTAGTAAGAGAGCGTCATAATAAAAGCCATGGCTTTATATGCTATAAGTTTTAAAGAAGAAAAATGGAGTTGGACACTTTGCTCCATACGATATACAAAACTAACTAGAAATGGTGTAGTGACCTAAATACAAGACCCCCAAAATCACAAGACACTTAAGTGGATTGGCATTGGCTTTTAAACATGAGGCTGAAAGCATAAGCAATACTAAGGCATTGAAAACCAGACTCATAAAAATTTAAAATTCGTGTTTTACCTATAAAATGAAAACACAGCAAACAAAATGGGAAAATGACAGCCACTTCTCTCTCAATTTTCCCAATGCTTATGTTCCACAAGAGCACATTAGACTTACTGAATCGGGGCTGGAGAAGACGGCCCAGCAGTTGAGAGAATGCATTACTTTTTAGACGACCTGAGTTCAGTTCCCAGTACCCACAACTGCCTGTAACTCTAGCTCTGACCTCCTAGGACACCTGCGTCATGTGCACACACCCATACAAAGACATACATGCACATAATAAAAAGCTGTAGCTCTCAGAAGGAAATGCTGAACAAGAAGATGTGACACATGTCTTAATCCAGAGCTTGGGAAGCAGGGGCAAGGAGGACCAAGAACTCAAGCCATCGTCAACTACGCTGTAAGTTAAAAGCCAGCCTGGACTACATGAGACACTGCTTCAAAAATCAAACCGGAAAAAACAGAATACAAGCTTCTGGCCCTTCCATAGCTTCATCAATTAATCCCTAAACTTGTCTGTATTTCTTTTAAAGACACCCTAGATAACGTACACTATCTATTGATTAATTAACACTGAACTAATGGCTAGCCGCATGGTGGCTTCCGCTGGAATTAGCCTTAGCTGGCATGCACATTGCAGACTCGCTGCATTTATTGGGCAGAGCTCCAGCATTGCATTTGGGAACTATTTTAAACAACAAAATCACCAGCAAAACGCACAAAAACCCTAAACGCAACCGTCCATTGTGAAAAGGCTGTTTCTTTGCATTGGGAGAGACGAAAGGTACCTAACTGACCTCAACTGGGAGTGGCCCACAGACAAGTTAGGCGTTTTGCTACCCTGTGCACATAGAGTAAGAGCCGCACACATGCACCGAGAATTGAGCTGGGGTTTGCAAATCAATTTTAATGAGTAGGAGCATCTACATATACAGAATCTACAAATAATGAGGACTGGTTATATTTGCAAACTATCTCAGTAAGACTATGACACCCAGATTATACAAAGCATTTCTAGAACTCAACACAAGGGTAACCTAATTAAAAACTGGGCAAAGGACTTGAACAGACATTTACCCAAAAAAAAGTGACAAATGCTTGTCACCACATGAAAAGATGACGTCACTATGGAAATGCCAATCGAACCCACAATGATATACTTCACATCCAAGAAGACATAGAATGTATCATACAACTCAGAGTACTACTCCAAGATGTATATCTAAAGGAACTGTAAACGGGACTCAAACAGACTCACAGGCCAGGTCTCATTGCAACATTATTCGCAACAACCCGTGTCCATCAACAGATGAGAGGACAGCCAGAAATCGGTGCACAGTGAACTATACTCAGCCATAAGAAGAGAATGTTACAATATATGTCACAACGTGGGTGACCTTGAAAACATCATGCCAAGGGAAGCAAGCCAGACACAAAAGGAAAACCTGTGTGTTTCCACTCATTTGAAATATCAAGCGTAGGCAAAGTCATAGACCAGGAAGTAGACCAGGGGTTACCAGGAGCTGAGGATGTGGAGTTATTGCTTAAGGGTTACAGATCTCTGTATGGGGTGACAAAAGGTTTTGGAAATAACAGTGATGGTTGTGTAACACTGTGGATATAATTTAGTGCCATTAAACTGTACACTTGATATTATAACAGCAAATTCTATGCATATTTTACCACAGGTTTTTAAAAAGCTGGCTCAATAAAATAGAAAACAATCACTCAAAACTGCTTATTATTGCTAACTTTTATTTTGTACTCAAGGACACAGTCAACCAGGAAAGGGAGGTTCTTTTGTGCTGACAAATAAATGTATTTAAAAGCTAACAAACATCCGAGCAGACTTTCATCCAGCCTGCCAGAGAGATGGGAAATCACGGAGTTACTTGCAGCTATACAAAGTTAGCATAGCACAAAGTAAATGTAATGTAAATATATCCAAATCCTTCATCTCCAATCCTTGATGCTGAAAGGATGGGATCTTGAGAACACTGAAATCACTGTCAAATGAAACTCAGACCACATTAGCAATGGTTTTAAAAAGGGAGCAATTTAATCATTATAATACAGGGTATTTAAGAAGTTTTTAGACGTGTAAAAGAAAAACAGCTTAGTGCATTCAATTGTTACAGTCTTTACATCACTTCTTTTTTTAAAAAAAGTTAACAGTAGTATGAAAAAAGCCACCCACAAAGCCAGCTGTCTGAGTGAAGAGATCAGCAAATTGCAGCATTTGGGAATTGCTAATAAAGCTATAGTTAAAAATAAAAAGTTTATAAAATGAAAGCAGCTCGCATAGTCAAGGGTTTTTCATAACAGCTTCATTAACTGGCAAACATTTAACCAAGAGCTTAGTATTCATTATTTATTAAATTAGAAAACTGGCCAAACCTACTATGTGTGATCATTCAAAAACAATTTTTGAGTCCAAATCTAATGAAAGCAACAGTTTGCTCTGTGAGGAAAGCACATTCTGAAAGGTGGTCCGATGGCCACAGCAGAAAGGGCCCTGTCTAATGAGAAGGAATGGCAGCACCAGCCTTCACTCACGTCTTCTGATACAGCAGGCACCGTTAATGCCCCCGCCCGATTCCTACAGGAAAGCTAATGTTTAACTTTCGGATCAGTTCCGAATTGTTTTTCTGTTCGCTGAAACTGTTACACAAGGTAGAATTGCATGGAAAGATAATTCTTGCAAAATCTCATCTGCACCAGTCTAACATGCCTGATCCCGCACCTGTAAGGACGCACTGCATGTGTTTTACTGTGCACGTTTGGAACAGCATTTGGAGTTTCTCCCTGTTAAGCTCTTTTTCCCTGTGGGGTAGTATCTTCAGTCAAATCTGGACAAAGAGCAGCCACACAAGTACTCCAAGTGGAAACTGGTGTGTCTGAGTGTTTCGTGGAGGCCCAGCCACCAAGGCCAGCAAGTCCTGTTCCAACATAACAGCACAGGCTGCTTTTACACTGCAAAGTGGGTGAGCCCGGGCACAACTTTTAATTTGGGTGTAGGACCTGATAAATAAGACACAGAAGTCAATCAGGGTTTGGTTCCCTCCCCGCTTCCCAGTTCTAAGAACTTTTACTCTGCAAAATGTTTGGTCACTCAAAGCTGTCAGCTTAGTCACATGTCAAAGAAAACAGGCAATACCGCCTGTCTTACACAGTGGTAAGCTGGACTAAAGTGAGGACAGGCTCTAGTGGTCATTAACCCTTAGAAAGTCAAAGATTCACAAAGTTCCCTCCTATCAGAATAAAAACGTATTGAAATGCACTTTTTACAAGTCCTTTTTGATCAGCACTCTATTTACATTGCAGAAGTCCCCCAGCTGCAGCAGTTTGACTTTGGCACAACATCAAGCTCCATTTCTTTTGGACATTGGATCCTGTTTTGAGAGTATGTATGCCCCAAAGCATTTTCAGTGTCGTCAAGGATTGGGCCCAGTCACAGTAATTCAGACATCTTGAGTTGAAGAACTTAGTCTCCTTCAGAATGTTAAGTGGCTATAAAAGAAAAACAACAACAACAAAAACAAAACCCTGAAACTTAACAAACAGCCATATTTTAACTTTTGTTTTAGAGTAAGAATAGCCGGTTAGTTAGCCACAAATACATCCTGCCTTCTCTTTAACGGTGAGCTCACTTACCGCACACACCTTACAGTGCAGTCTGTGGGAACCATGTGTGCGTTCGTCATGAGCCACACCTGCGTTTAGACACTCGCCTCTCTGAAATCCTTTACACAGTTATCAGTAGGAAGGTATTTCATTGTCGGTATTTGTAACATGAAATCTAAAGACCTATGGTATTTCTGCTGGTACACACGATTACCACGTGCAAAAGGTGTATGGTGTGTGTGTGTGTGTATGTGTGTAAAAGATTACATCATATGTCATGTTCTGCAGTATCTTTTTATCATAGTCCTTCATGCATTTATCACAGCTCATATTGAACAATGAATTCTGGGTTGCAAAGGAGGAATTATTTTTGTCCCTGTCTTACGTAGCTTTGCCCAGTTGCAATGACTATTTTGGGAAGGTTTGGGTAAGTATTTTTGTAAGCTGAACCATATTTTAAGAGGAAACCTATGCTGAATACTTTGGTAAGTGAAAATTATTTTGCTAAATGAATCATAACCTGCCAGCTAATGTGTTTTCTAGCTTTACACTTCCAAGTATGTCCTAAGCTGTATACATGGGATGTACGCTGTGTGCTCTTCCTGGGGGACGGTGCACATGCTTCCTGCACACGTACCAGCCACTGGCAGGTGCCGGGCGCTCCTCAGCTGCTTCTGCCTTGGTTCCAGAGACAGCTCTGATTCAGCTACCCTGCTGGCCAGTGAGCCCCAGGGACTCACCTTTCTCTACCCTGTCTCCTAAGTGCTGGGGTTGCCAGGGCCAGCTACAGCGCCCACAGATGGGTGCTGGGGGTCTGGGCTCAGGCAAATACTACCCACTCACCCACTTCCCAGCCCTGCTTTCTCTGCACTCTAACAGCAAAGGCTCCATATACCACATACAATATTAACTTGTGAGAAATGTGGGTTTTCTGATCATAGTCCCTAACCATGTTACTATACAACTCAAAGTCAGACCCAGGCAGACTGCATGGAAAGGGCCACCTGGTTTTAGATGATTACAACTCCCCAGAAAATGACTGCAAAGCTGCAACAGCAATTCACTGCAGCAACAAATTTGCTGACTTAATCTTGGCTGAGTACGCATTCTTGTGTTTAGCAATTTAAAAAAAAAGCCTGCTACAAATATTTTTTAGGCTATGCATCTGGGTCTGCCTGCTGTCCTGACGTCTTCTGACCTGAGGAAGTGGAGGGCTGCATTTCAGGGTAATCTTGACTGTGACTTAAATGATGACATGACACTCTCGGGCCTGCGATGAGACTTCCACTGCTGGTGTAATGAGTGGAGCTTTAGCTCATCTGACTTTCTGTCTTAAGAGTGTTAATGAGAGGGAAGCTGGGGAAAGAGCTGTTGATGAGTAAGACTAGTCTGCAGCCTTCACTAAGGTCTCAGGGATTAAGAGAACAGTGTGCCGAGTCAGAGAGCACCCACGTAGGATGGAGAGGAAATAAGTAACTACGCTCACACACAAACTCAAGTCTGTGTTTCCTTTCCTCCCTCGGGGTTTAGAACACCACAGCAATTTCTGACAGACATGGGCATTTCATGACAACTACATTGTTTTTAAAGCAGTGTGCTTTTATCCTGGAATACTCCCAAACAAAGGCCAGAAAAGAATAAAATGATGTTCTTGACTTTCCACAGGATAAAGAATTGAAGTCCCTGGCTGAGAATGTAGTTTAGTTATGGTGCTGGCCTAGCACGAACAATCCCCCAGGACGGGAAACTTAAATAGAATTGAAGTCCTAACTTCAGGGAACTGTTTGCAACCAGTTACTTTTTTATTTAATTTAATCTATAATCCATTAAGGGACATGCCAAAACTTTTCAAATTTAAACTATATTTGTTTGTACTTTTAAGATGACTACAGAGATTTTATATTGCTTTAAGAGAGGGTCTTGCTATGTAGCTCAGGCTAGCCTCAAATTTGGACCCCTCCTGACTCAGTTTCTTAATGTTAGGATTATGAGAATATGGAGCCACATCCAGCAGGAAATTTAATTTTTTTAACCAAACCTAGTACTTAGATATTTTGGGTGACTGATCCTTGTGACAAAGAACTTATATTGTAGCTGCTCAAAACCAGACACCACCTGGGCACACATGAGTCTGCACAGGCCCTAGAACAGGCCTTCGTCTTCTAACAGAAAAAGATACTGAGTATGCAATGAGTCTTAAACTCTAGCGCAGTGTGATAAAGTTCTGGGGGACATCAATGGAGAAACAGTGTCTGCCTTCATTTAGGTTTTCTCAGAACATCTGTCCTTGTGTGTGGCCTCTCCATTCAGGATGCCTGTCCTTCTTTCTCATTTTCTTTTTGAATCGTTTCCTTATATAGGCAAAAATAAACATCACTAGAGAGACGGTTACAAGAAATACCCTTACGATCCTAAGTGTTTGTTTCCCATTTCTCTTCTTTCTTTCCTTTAAAACAAACTAAATCATTTTGTATGAAAAGTAAATAATTAAAGGAACATTAAGACATTAAAACCTGTAGAATTATCAAGCTCCACTAATAATAAGACACGTCATGACTAGTGGCACCTGGTCCTCTTACTAGGAAAAAAAAGTTTTATAAAAATTAGTAAAGGTGAAGACGAGGGCTAGGTAGATGGCTCAGGTCACTGAAGTATTTTCATAAAGACATGAGAACCTGAGTTCAGACACGAGAACCCTCGTAAGAGTCATGCACAGCAGTACACACCTGTATTCCTAGTGCTGATGTCCAGAGAGGTGGATTCTTGGAGCTTCAGAGCTCCCTGGACACATAGTACTGCTAAATCAGTGAGCTACAGGTTCACAGAGAGATGCTGTCCAAAAATATATGGTGGAGAGCAAGAGGAAGACTCTGACCTACACACGCATGCACGCGCATGGGACGTGTCAGCACATACACACACATACACATGCATGCACATACACTAACATGTGTGCACGCATACACATGCACACATGCACGTACATGCATGCACACACACGTACCACACACGCAAGTGAAGATGACTGAAGCAATAAGGTGGCTGTTAAAACACATATATGACTGATGATGAATACGAAGGCTAAACACTTACATTTCAGTCATCCGATTTAGAAAGCTTCCGCTTCACATGTCGTGGGGGTTCCCAAGTGTCACTGTCATCTGTTTCTTCTTCATCTTCTTCCTGGTCATCGACAACTTCCTCCTCCTCCTCATTCTCCTCAAATAATTCTATGCCTAACTCAGATCGCCTCTGTCTTTCTGCAAACCACTCTCTGACCTGCTCGTAGCCCATGTGTGATCTATTGACAAGTTCATCAAGGTCTTGCTCATTGAGAAATTTGTGCTTCAGGTAATAGTCCTTTAGTATTGCCGTTCCAGTTTTAAACTTTATGAGCGATGGTACCCTGTCCCAGGCGTTCATTCTCTTGCCCCCTCTAGGCCTCCCACGTGGTCGGCCTCTGCCCCGCCCTTTGGGTCTGCCTCTCCCTCTCTTCCTAAGGGAAGACAGACCGTTCAAACTACTTGAATTGGAGCTTTGATAGTAGTAGTACCATTTCAAGTTTCCATTCTTCCAAGCATAGCGGGTGTCCCCAAACCAGCTAACTATGTCTGTCCTGGCAAGCCCACTTTCTTCGGCCAGCTTGTCATACTCTTCTGGAGACGGCCACTGTGTCCGCACAAACGCACTTTTCAGTATGTGCAGCTGCTCCGGTGTTTTCTTACATATCTTGCCCGTCCCTCCAGACTTAGGTGCAGCGGCCTCATCTCCAGGAGAACTTTCTCCAGGTTCTTCTTTGGAACTACCTACATTACTTTCATCTGCGTCTTTTTTGTCCTCCTTTAAAGCTTTTGTTTTATTCTTCTCTGTAAACCAAGCATCAATTTCTCTTCTAGTAAGTTTGGTTTGCGCTCTTAGCCTATTTAGCTCTTCATCTGTAAGCACAGAACTGTTGAGAAAACTTGCCTGAAGGACACGGAGCTGCTCTGCCGTCTTCTCTTTAAACTTCTGGGGAGCAAAGTCGGGAAAGGGGCTCCAGGACTGTTTCTGCTGTGAAGGGACTGCAGCTGGGGGTTCCGGGGTGTCCTCACTGGAGTCTATGATGATGGTGGCCGAGGAGTCATTGTTGAGATGTAAGCACTGGTTACTCTTTGAGTTTCTCTGGTTGTACCTTGTGTCGCTAAACCATTTTTTGATCTCGCCTTTGGTAAGGCCTGTTATTTTCATGAGCCTGATGATTTCTGAGTCGTGCGGGAACTGGTTCTTAAGATAGCTAACCTTCAGTTCTGCCAGTTGTTCCTTAGTCTTTTTGGCCCGAATGCCAAAGGAATCTGGGTTCACTAGTGCAGTTTCCGGTCTGACACTGGGTGATGACGGGACCGCTGCCGTGGCCGCTTTTGTCTCCGTAGCAGGCTGAGCGGCGGGCACTTGGCTCTTGTGTACGCTGGTCTGATTCGGAACCCCTGCCACTGTCAGGGCGATAGGCGCCGACACTGGTAAGGTATTTGTTCCAGCTACTTGAGTAAGAACCAGGCCTGGCTGGCCAACTATCTGGCACGTCTGTAAGATAGAAGGTAGCCCGTTACTGCCCGTGGAGATGTGTGTAGGAATAACAGTTATGGTCTGAGGTACAGTGTGCACTGTCCCATTGAATTGCTTCCTCCTTGCCTCCTCTACTTCTTCCGGGGTCCAACTCACGCCGTGCTTTAGACGCTGGGCTGAAAACCAGATCTTGATCTGTTCCTCTGTGTACTTTGCTTGAGCAGAAAGAACTGTAATCTCGGACAGTGTGGGATAAGGGAATTTGTTGTAGGTGTTGAGTAGAAGCGGGTTGTTATCCAATGCAGCGTTGTAGGCAGGAATGCTGTTGACCGGGATTAAGACTTTGGGGACCAGGTTGGAGCTCTGCTGGGCAGACACGGCGGAGATCACCTGTGCTAGCCCGGGGAGAACAGCAGAGGGCGTCACGACTGTGCCGGCAGGACTGGAATGCACTCTGCTGGCGGTGGAAGCGCTTGCACTGGGCTCTGAGACCGAGGAACTCGCGCTCTCTGCCTTCTCCTCCCGGCTTGCTTTGACTCCGTTTTCTCTCTCTTCGGTAGTGTCCTCGGCTGAGTTGTGATGCACGGCGATCCGTTTGCTCTCTACCTTATTTTTCATCATTTTCATGATGGGCGTTTTACTGATGGAGATTGCTGAAGAAGAAACATCTACGGATTCTCCTTGTTCTGTATTCTCCTCTTTAACAAAACTACCATCGAAAGTCAGATCATTTATTGTTTGTTCAAAGATTGTCTGGTTATTCCGCTTCACCATAGTCAGCTTGAAATTTTCTTCCCCTGGGTGGTACTTCAGATTATGCTCAGAAAGCGCGTCATACCTTTTGGTGAGAAAGTTGCATTCAACACAAACATAGGACGAGTTGAGGACAACGTTGGGGTGCTCTGAGTCTACATGGAAAGTAAACATGTTTAGGTCTGGGGTTTGGAAAGTACAGTATTTACACTCATAGCCCCCTTCCAGCTTCCTACTCGGCTGATTGTCACAATCCACAGGGTCATCAACTTCGTCACTGGACACACTCTCTGCTCTAGCATTCTCTACGGGTGTGAGGACAGGAGGACCTTCATCCAAATCTGATACCAACTCAAGGTCTGGGTCCTGCTCACTGGCAAGGACCATGCAAGGCGTTGTTGACTTTCGTCTGCTTGCCATTTTGATTTTAGGGGGAGATCTCAGTGGTGATTTAAAAACACTGAGGCTTAAACCTGGAATCCTTCATTTGAAAACAGTGGCTTCTGGCTTTTCAAGTCCACCTTGTGCTCAACAAGTCTCGTTAGTAGCATTCCCATGGTGCAATCAAGGAAACAGCTCAGTCGGCAGATAAAGGCCTGCTCAACTGTTGAGATGTGTGAGGCACAGCTCCAACCACCTACATTGGGATAAATTCAAAGTGAGTGACTACGACTGTTAATGAGAGGATGCTATCACATGTGCTCATGTTAAGCTGTGGCATATGTCAACTGGAAGTCAGGAAAAAGGGCTCTAAGAATCTAAACAGACGCCTGTCTCCAAGTCAACACACTGAAGACCATGTGACACTGAGGAGCCAACCCCACATGTGTTTATGGAGTCTCTCAGTCGACAGACTCCGTAGAAAGAACAGAGCAGGGGCCTGCTATGGAAGCACACTATTAACACTCTGCTGGCAAGGAAGGAACTGGAAAGGCAGCCACAGTGGCATGTATGTGAAATTCAAGCCCATCAGCTAGGTCTTCTTCCTACCGGCCTATCTGGGCTCAAATGCTGAAGGAATAGAGCTGAAGCATCTTAAGGCATACGCCGTTCCCTTCACTCTCTGGACAGAACCTCATTTTCTGCTGCATCTCTTGCCATTGTCTTCTTAGATCCTTGGGAGACGACAGTCATTCCAGGAACACCTGATGGGCTTTCTCAATCTTACTACACTGTTCTCGATTCCAGGACACTTGTCTGTACACTTGACGTAATATATTTCTGTATTATAAATCACCTCGACTTATTTCCTAGTCTCGTGCTAACCATATTGCAGCAGATCCTGCTCCTGCATTTCTGTTCCTGCTCCCTACCTATACCTGCATACCTGTGGTCTCCTTATAAGTGATGCTGTGTCCTGTTCTCTTCTTTCCCCAATAACACCTTCATTATGATAGAAGTCTCCCACACTCTAGACTAAGTAAAAGCCCTCAGTATCTTCAATCTAACCCTTCCTCAGCTGAGCTGCTCCGGCTGGTGTCTCATTCACGTTTGACTGACAATGCAAGCAAGTCAGCACTGAAGCAGGCAGCACTGTCAATTAACTGGGTCAGAGCATATCACTCTAGTCAATAGTAGCTGCAACTCATAACACTGACGCTGAATCTTCGCATCTGCACTTTTAAAAATCACTGAGTTTTATATATGAAATGGGTGGATCTCATGGTATATGAATTATAGCTCAATAAAGCTATAACCTTTTTATTTTATTTTTGCTTTTCAAGACAGGGTTTCTCTTTGTAGCCCTGGATATCCTGGAGCTCACTCTCTGTAGACCAAGCTAGCCTTGAACTCAGAGATCCACCTGCCTCTGCCTCTGCCTCCTGAGAGCTGGGATTAAAGGTGTGTGCCACCATTGCCCAGCTATAAACTTTTAAATAAAAAAATGCATTCAAAAATTGCTATCAAAATATTTAAAATAAAAAATTTATTTTATTTTAAGTCAAGGCTAAGTCAAGCTTTATGTTTCTGATGTCTAAACAAATTCAAATAACTACAATTAGTGGTTTCACTTGTTTGCCACAGAATTTCAGGTGGTTTTCATTCACTAGCCATCCCTGTCACAGCTGAAGGAAGCATGCACGTCAAAGACCGGCTAAGAAGGGCTCTGAGAGCGCCGCCAGGAAACACAGCGGTGTGCTCTGCCTTGAAGGTGCTAAGGCCCCCACTTCAGCACTCAGATACAAACCACATACTCACTAGACAGACCCAAGCAGCGCCCTCGAGGCTGTGCTACCGTCCATCCCTAACAGAGAGCACACTCGACTCTGTACTAACATCCATCCTAACAGAGAGCACACTCGACACTATACTAACATCCTAACAGAGAGCACACTCGACACTGTACTAACATCCATCCTAACAGAGAGCACACTCAACACTGTACTAACATCCATCCTAACAGAGAGCACACTCCACACTGTACTAACATCCATCCTAACAGAGAGCACACTCCACACTGTACTAACATCCATCCTAACAGAGAGCACACTCGACACTGTACTAACATCCTAACAGAGAGCACACTCCACACTGTACTAACATCCTAACAGAGAGCACACTCCACACTGTACTAACATCCTAACAGAGAGCACACTCCACACTGTACTAACATCCTAACAGAGAGCACACTCCACACTGTACTAACATCCTAACAGAGAGCACACTCCACACTGTACTAACATCCTAACAGAGAGCACACTCCACACTGTACTAACATCCTAACAGAGAGCACACTCGACACTGTACTAACATCCATCCTAACAGAGAGCACACTCCACACTGTACTAACATCCTAACAGAGAGCACACTCGACGCTGTGCTGACATCCCTATCAGAGAACATCAGCTTAGCCATACACAGTATTCATAGTTCGAATCTCCACTCTCAAAAATTAAATCATGCTGACTCCCCATGGGAAACCTTACCTCTCTAAGGAGTGGACAGGGGTGGGAGCAGGAGGAGGGGAGAGAGTGAAAACTGGGATTGGTACATAAAATGAGAAAAGATCCTTTTTAAAACAAAAAATAATTAAAAATGAAAAAATCGAATCATGGGCTGGCTGGAGAGATGGCCCAATGATAAAGAGCACTTATTGCTCTTGCAGAGGACCTGGGTTCAATTCCCAGCACCCACATGGTAACTTCAAGACCACCTGTAACTTTAGTTCCAGAGGATCCAACACCCTCCTCTGGTCTCTGTGGGCACTGCATGCTGACAGTGTACAGATATCCATATAGGCAAAACACCAATACATATAAAATATAACTAAATAAACCCGAAAAAATGAAACCAAGACATTTGCAAGATATTGTACAAATCTAGAGGTCATTATGTTAAATAATTGAAACAAACTCGAGTAACAAGAGCTGCATGAGTTCTCTCACATGGAGAATCAGGATTTAAAGTTACACAAAGGGGGTAGGAATGTTGGGGTGTCATGCAAGTATAAAGGGAGCCCTGAGTAGAACAAAAGGACTCTTCGTGGAAAGGAGGAAAAGAAGGGGCGTAGGACATGTGTAGCAGGGAGGCACAGGGGACACTATTTGGAGGTAGGAGACCAAAAGAGGGCGAGATGGAGAGCACGGTGAGAGGCAGGTGTGACTAAGAACGAAGTGTAATAACTTGCGTATCAAAGTACCATCTAACGCCTCACCTGTAAGATTATACGAAACCTCAGAAATTCTAAACTAACTGTTAGAAACTAGGGTCTCCTAGTCAAAGAGGAATCATAGGGTTTCAAACTCTAAATCACACAGCTATTGATAGTGGGATTCTCAGGGTTGAGTGCGAACAATGAGACTCTGGGTTCAATCTCCAGTGCCATAAAAAGGAGAAGCAAGAGCAGAGACTCCCCGGCGGTTCCCTACGCGGAAGAGAATGCAGGCCTGTGACATACTGGAGGGGCAGGAGTAAGGCACCTTGTGACTCCATTCTTCTGGCTGTCTTTAACTGGGGTGGACTCACAGCTGGAGAGGAAAGGCAAAGGGGTTTGCTTTCTGAAAGGAGCAGTTTTCAGAAAGCATCTTTTAAGGAAAGGAGCCCTTTCTTCAAACAAAATTACTCGGAGAAGGCAAAATGTAAGTCAAATTCTGTTTATGAATGTGCACAACTAGAGATAATCAAATTATGTGAAAGAAACCACTCCCAGGAAGACAACTAGCCCATGTTTTGTCTCTCCGTGGATGCTAAGTTTTGTGCAGACACATAAAACCGTGTATTTATATAGGACATGGGGGGAAGCAAGACTAGCAGGGAGGATGGATGGACTCACAGGAGAGAGGACAGAAGGAACAAGAGGGAGAGTGTGGTCAAGGCACCCGGTGTACATACAGAAGTGTCTTCTGAAGCCCATCCTCATGCACAATGAGCGTGTCAGCAAACACATCTTTAGGGGAGAGAGACTGACTACCTAGCTGACCGTAGGAGACAGAGCTAAGCTACCCCTGACGATAGTCGGGGCCCCACTTCTACCTGAGAGGTTCTGAGAGGTGAGTGAAAAACTGTACTTTACAAACTTAAAACGCTTTCGAAACAACGTGTCCACTGCAGCCAACCCTCTCATTATGCCACTACTGTGCCGTGGCACCTGAAACCCATGGGGAGTGGATTCAGTGGGACTGTCATTTGGCGGAAGAAGCAGACCAAGTGGAGGCTGCCACAGGAAGGCCACAGTTTGAGGCCAGCCTGAGCAACTCAGCAAAACTGGTAAAAAGAAAGTGTGAACTAAACACGTGAGTGTGGCTAAGACTTGCTCTCAGGGATAAGAGCACCCACCTAGGCCACAGTAGGGTCCTGGGTTCAAGCCCCAATTTCAGAAGGGAGAAGCAGAACCCAGGGAACTCAGGGGTAGAGCAAATCAGCAGTCAGTCATGAGAGCTGCCAGAGAGACTGAGTAGCCCAGGCCCCTTACCTTTCTGACTCTTCAGAAGATTCAACATTTGGGTTAACGTCATAGGATTTTAATCGTATGTAGCACATAATAAGAGTATGCTATCAAATGATTACTTTTCTTCTTTTCCTACCAGCTGACTAACTCAGATTGGCAAGTGAGCATTCAGCGGATCTGAATGAATCCTATCCTTACATTCAGTGTGTGAGCACTGGTGACAACCAGGAGACAACATGCAGGGTTGATGCTCTCCTCCCACCACGTGGGATCCAGGGGCCCAACTCAGGTTGTCAGCTTGGCAGCAAGCACCTAGACCCACTGAGTCATCTTACCAGCCCTGGGTCTGAGCAAATTTTATAAACCTAAGTAGCTTTTACTAAAGTAGTGAAAAACATACTTATGCTATATTACAATCTACTAATCTATATCCAAGTTGTACTTTTCCCTCTGAAAATACTGACCTTAGAAAATAGATATTTTAATCCATGTTACTGAAATGACAGGCAGAGAGAGAGAGAGAGAGAGAGAGAGAGAGAGAGAGAGAGAGAGAGAGAGAGAGTCAGTCGTCAGTCAGTCTGGAGAGTTGGCTTAGTCATTAAGACTGCGTGCTGCTCTTCCAGAGGACCGATGTTTTGTTCCCAACACTCATGTTAGGTGGCTCACAACGACCTATAACTTCACCTCCAGGAGATCTGGCGCCCTCTTCTGGCCTCCACTTGCATCCCTGACCCCAAATGTAGCAGATA